TCTTTGCTTGGTTTTGTCCCCCCTCCTCCTGCCTTTCAGTTACGTGGCGCGTACACTTCTTATCACTTCCTATAGTTGGGTTACTCTCTTGTCGTCGTTGTTCCTCGCACACTTTATTATCGCTCAACCTTGTAAATACAATGATGTTACCTTTTTTCTATCATCGTCAATTATGCTAAGTACGTTACGTTTTGTGTTCAATCATCCATTACATCCTCTCTTTCTTCAAGTATCCACTATTTGCTCCAACATCCCCATATCTTATTACATTCCCGTCACCGTCACTTCTTCGGACTTTCCCCCCTCGGCACACCCCTTGGTTTCCACTCACTTGGGCTTCTGTTCTCCACACCTCCCCCTTGGACCTGGGTGGCATGATTCAAAAATGGACCAAAGCCCGCACTACGTAGATTATTACCTACTTACTATTTTTGTTTTCCGCGCCTCTTTACCCCTTGTATCCCACCTACCCCCATCTGCCCACCCCCACACTTCCTATGACACCCTGGATGCCCACCCACTTGGCGCTGGCGTTCTTTATCTAGTAGTGTAGTTTTTTATCCGCGCACACGGAGGACACTAGCTGTACATGACACATGTTTGTCGACCAGTCAATTGGAGAGAGATTCTTGGCTGCGATGATTATGGTTTACTGAGTAGTGGCGTTTCCGCTGCGGTCGAATTCGAACGGGATGGATATCCGTGAGTCTAGATTCCTCCCCTTCCGGCCGATGGTAAGTTGTACACTGGGAATGTTCGAGCTCTTGGATTCGGACGCCAGTTTGAGGGAGGGACGACTCATAAATCGAACTGGACCTACAGTACCATTCGCGGGAGTTGCAATGACGATGAGTATCATGATTTGCACGTAGGATCATCGGGAGTCCGAAAATGGTGTTGATACAGCTTTACTATACATACATTCGTTACAGAGAATTGATTCTGTTGTGAACACGGGGAGAATGCAAGAGAATATACATTCCTTACAACCGTTTGATCCCTCGACCTAATGTTGGCTATCACGGTCGGTGAGGGGCACGTACTATCAAGAGGGTATTTGAGGGTGTTGCGGATGAGTTGTGTGAGCAGAAAAACGTACACGAACGCCCATAATCTCTTTCTGGGTGACGTTCCCCTGGGCATCTTTATCTACATGTAGGATATTCTGCATGTACGTACCCACGGGAATGAACATCCTTCCCGGAGAGGCGAGTTGCTCAATCAAGGCTTCTGGAACCGTTGGCGCGGCTGCGCCAACATGGATTGCATCGTAGGGACCTGTTGAACGGTGAGCTCGGATCTTATGAGACTTTGTATGGAAATGTAGATTGACCTTCACTGGGATAGCCTATATGATTGTAAGTACCATTTCAACACAGCTCAAGGCAGCTCGAACGAGTGTTGTCCGCTGCATACTTACCTTTCCTTCCATCCCCAGCAATAAGTTGGATCTTCCCAGAATCCAGCTCATCCTTGAGCCCGTCTTTGAGCATGTTCTCCCGCGACCACTCTACCAGTTCCTCTACATGCTCGATTCCGACGACCTTCCCGCTTGGAGACACGAGATGATGGAGGACCGCAACCAAGTATCCCGATCCGCTGCCCACGTCAAGGACCTTTGCTCCCGGACGAAGATAGGACAGTAGATGCTCTGAGGCATAGGCATGCTGTTTTTGTTCGTAGTCCGGAAATCAGCGCATTCTGGTGCACTCGAACTGTTTCAAGTCTTTGCTAACCATATGAGGAGCACTTATAGTTGCACCGTATCCAATCGTCCTGGAATACAGCAACCTGTGATAAGATTCGGGGCTTGATAATAACTAGCGAAGAGCTCAACTGAGGTGAATCCTCGTATGCCTCTTGCCTGTGAACCACGTAGTTGGCTCGATCCACTTTGGCCATTGCCTGCCCAGTGCCAAGATATCACATCAGGATTGGATGGATGCGAGGTTGCGTGAAGGCTGTCAAACGCACTGTTGAGACTCGATCCGAGTGGAAGATTCCATTCGCTGCGAGATTTGAGATGAGTTCTGCGTTCGTTTTCCCTGTACATCGCCAGGCCATTTTTCGGGAATTGTTCGTGGTCGTAGTCGTAGACGATGATGTCGTTCCCCCCAATGTCGTCAGAGATAAGATTTGAATGTGTAAAAGATAAGATTGCCTCCGCAAAGATAATCAATTTCATAGCTGTGCAAAGCATTGGCAACGCGTCTCACACGTTCGCGCCAAGGGACGCGCGGGCGATCAAGGAGATATATTGGGCTTGGCGGCTTGGGTGAGCTCAGTTTCAACTCGAGTCCTTTCTTGCTGTTCACTTACATCCTCGATGAGGCAGGCTCTCCCTCTGGGTCCTCTTCTGTATACTGTCTTTACCGTCAGTATTTTTTCCATTGCATATTCAGCTGCTACTCACTGTCCTTCAGTCAATCCTCGAAGTTTTCCTACTATGTCTTGCTGGATATATTCTTGCGGCCAAGGGAACCCTCGATAAGAAGACCCAGAGGGTGCGCTTGTCGAACTCTTGCTTTCGTTGTTTTTGAAACTCACAAAACTCCTCAGCAACTCAATAAGCTTAATGTCTCCTTGTTCACGCCAGCACTGCTCTTCTCGAAAGTAGCTTTCTTCTTATCGCCCGGTACGCGTGCAGCTCATGTGCAATGACGAACGAAGTGACCAACGTTCCTGCTAGAAAAGCTACGCGAGCTATGGGTCGTTCCAGTGTTCTTCGTGGTGGTCACTGTTGTCTCTATGGCCACCTCGTATATTCTTGGAACGATATTCCGACTGAAAAAGTCGCAAAGGTACGCCACCACTGCTTCTCTGCATTTGCCACGTTTCACGTCGTTCTTTCAGAGCTTTCGCCATGGCCGCATCCATGTTCATGAACTCCAATTCTCTTCCCATCGCCCTGATGCAAAGTCTGGTCGTCACCATGCACAAAGAATTGAAGTGGACTGATGACGACAACAAGAACACAATGCTTGGGAGAGCTCTGACGTATCTAGTGCTTTACAGCACGCTCGGTATGATTGTTCGTTTAACCATTTCAATCTTACAGCTTCCAGTTTTTTGATGTCATTATTTCCTCACAGTTGCGATGGAGCTACGGTGTTCGTCTACTATCACAAGCTGACGACGAAGTTCAGGAAGGTACCATCAGACTTCCCGAAGACGATGAGGAACAACGTCCCTTGTTTCCCTCGTCACCCGAGCGCTACACTGACGAGCCTTACGACGACCACGCGCACACTAACGGTTCGGACTCGACTGCGACTCTTGCCGCAGGTCATACCCCGATTCCCGAAATCATAGTCATCGATACGAATACCCATCCTGGAATGAAGAGGAAAGACTCGAAATTCTACAATTCATTCCCCAATTCTCCGAACCAATCCCGTATCAACTTGCCAGATATCGATACTGCCGACAACTCACGCGCCAACTCGGACGATGAGGAAGACGAGGACAATTTGAATAACGATCAAGTACCTAGCGTGCCGCTCCCCATGCACCGCAGGCCTAGCCACGCAGGCAGCGTCTCCTCTACACGGTCACCAGGGATACGTAAATTCTTCCGACACGCGAAACGGCGCGTTGCTCGCGTTTGGCTCACCTTTAACGAGTTCATGACCGTCCCATTGTGGGCGGCACTGCTCTCTATCATCGTCGCACTCGTCCCGCCTTTCCAGCACGCTCTCGATGTACACATGCAGCCCGTGAAAGGAGCCCTCACGAGCGCGGGAAATTGTTCGATCCCGATTACTTTGGTCGTTCTGGGGGCGTACTTCTATCCTGAGAAGAAGGACGACGAGGCGAGCCTTAAACCCACGAGTTCGAATCCTCCGGGTCAGACAGATCTCGAGTCTAGTTCGTCTTCGACTTTGATCCAGCAGATGAGGGATGTTTTACACGGTGGTCGTGATAATAAACCTGCGCAGGCGCGTCCTACCGGGACTGGAGAGACGAAGACTGTGTTTATCGCTGTGCTGTCGAGGATGATACTCACCCCCGTATTGTTGATGCCTTTGATGGCGTGGGCTGCCAAGTTCGATATGCAGAAGGTGTTCGATGAGTAAGCTGGTCTTTTTTTGGCGTGAACTGTTCGTCGTTACTGATCGAATGTCCGGAATATAGTCCTGTCTTTGTGGTCTCGAACGTCTTGCTAGTCGCTTCACCACCTGCGTTGACTCTTGCGCAGGTACGCTGTCTTTCTTCCTGCATTCCTTCGCTCGTGCTCAATCATATGTTCCCCAATAGATCACACAGGCTGCTTCTGGCGACGCCTTTGAACGATTGATTAGCCGTACGATATTCTGGTCCTATTGTATTGTAACACCTCCTACGACGATCTTGTACGTCGTTGTGGGATTGATCTTTTCTCGTTTGTGATTCACGCTTTGTTTTCTTTGGACTGTGATTTTTCGCATACATATTTCCTCGTGTATAGAATGCTTATTGCTCTTGCTCTTGTTCTGTGATCTGTTTCTGTGGCGTTTTATGGATGATGTTCAGCTTTTTCGTATCATAGGGTTTTACTATCTAGTAGTTAGTTATTGTGAAACACACGTACCACCGTTAGACTACAGAAATTCGGGCGTGAATGGACTCAACACCATGACGAGTTCAACATGAGGATATGTCCCAATCATGGACTCCGCCTGCAGCAAAACGACTTGCGTTAATATTAGTTCTGTTCCAAGAGTGGCCGTCTGATTTTCAACTCACGAAGTTTAAGCCGGGTGCCGAGGTACTCCCTTCAAAAGTTCATACAGAGCTACACGAGGCTGAGGGAGTGAGAAGTTGTATCAAGTCCGTTGTAGGGAGTAATAGAACCCTGTCAACTGGAGGCGCAGCTAGGAAGCCTCTCGAGTTTAGTCCCACTGCCAGTCCGTAGCTTTGGGCTCTGACCCCCAATGCGATGAAGGAAATATCCCTATTCCTGGCTTTCTATGCCATGTTTCACTAAAGGCAAAAACAATGGCAATTCTTCTGAGGACCATAACCCAAGATGGGGATCGAACCCACAACCTTTGCCTTACGTACGTCATTGTCCATGAACTATAGGAAAGCAACGCACTACCATTGTGCTACTTGGGCGTTGTTGACGGGTTGAAAAGAGGGGTTGTGTCGGAATCTGACTTGGTGGGTCCCGAGTCAGTTGTAAACACCCGTAGGCATAGGTGCTTCGGACGGAGAGAGGTGTCTGGTCTCAGGGGCAACTTGACGCGCCTACATTTGACATAAACGCGAACCTGCAGCAAGTGCGGTGGTACTGCAATAGTGGGTAGATTGTTATTGATAGTCAGTAGCAAAAAGAGGGTTCCGCTCGGCACCAGAGTACATAGCCGTCCGCTTGAGGGCCCTGAATGAGTTTTCTGGGGTGAAGTGGTGCAAGGGAGAAGATTCAGCAAATCATGACAGCAAGAACTTCTCTCTCCGGATGAGATGAGAAAGTCGCCGTCGGATATTTGATTCACACAATTACTGGCAGTGCGGTAACTGGTTAATCATGTATCGGCAATACGAAAGACACAACGCTCGAACGGGGAAGTCGTTCAACGTTGGTTTCAGAGATGATTCGGGCACCGTTTGCCGCCGACGGTGAAGCGGCTGATTCAAATGTGGAGGTTTGCTCACATTAAGTTGAATAGGCGGATACAGGATTGAGCGCTCCTTCGGAACTCATCCGATCGTACTTGGAAAGTTAATAGGATGCGCCCTGTGGTGCATTGATGTATGCAATGCCATCACGAACGTCGGATGCACTGCGATCAACGGACTACAGCAAAGCAAAGATAAGTCACAACCTCGTTGATGAAGAACAAGGAGTAAAACATCGCCTGAGAAGTCCGTCAGGGAGTCCGTAGCAAAGAATCGAGGAAGGGCAGTGTGTACGTACCATATTCGCGTTATCCAGCAGTTGGTCAGAACTGTGATACTTTGAATCGTGGACCACATTGGGTGTCTCCTGCTCTAATAGGTGCAGTCTGGCCATCTTTACAGCAATGACGGCAATCAAGGAGAACCAGTAACAAGCCAGGAGCTGTCAGCAAAGTCAGCATGAAGTTGTAGGGGTCTCAGAAGTACTATCGACAAACCAAACTCGCCTTTATCGTTTGGAGTGACCTACCCCTCCCTTCTCTCCACAGAATGAAAAGGACGACCAGTAGACCGACGCTATTCAACGGCAACAGGCCTACACCCAGACCCTCTGCAGCCAAACGGGTCACTTCGAGGAGCGTTATCACGGCAGTCGCCAGAACGAGCAACAGATACATAAGATGCATCGCTGTGGGATAATGAAAGCTTTGCAGTCCACTTGCGCTATCCTTTCCCTTGCGAACGTTAACGAATCCCAGGGAGACTGATGCGAGTACAGCAAGTAGACCAAAGGATGGTGCAGGGACGATTAACGTGTCAAGAGTACAAGTTGAAGGGGATCCCTATGAATCGTCAAATTT